AAAAAAGAGTTTCACGACTGGTTTATGCACCCACAGTCCACAACAAAAGCACATAGTTCTTCAGCTATAGTGCAGTCAAAAGCCATGTCTAAATACTACTTCTGTACCTCAAATATAAGTCCTTACAAGCCATTAAGAAAACAATCATCATCATCCTCATCGTCATGCACATTGACAGAAATCAGAAAGCTTTCACAGCCCAGAAAATTGGGCAGCAAAAAGCCTGAATTCTAAGCAGGAGACAAATGGCAGAGTTATCATCCCCTGCTATTCCTGAAAGAATGAAATTAAGAAACGCATCGCGGTTTTTGCTGAAGAAGCAGCCTACCAGCACTCTGAGGAAGTTCACCCTCAGTCGTGTGGGCAAAAAGAGGTGGAAAAAGAGGATCTCAGGCTGCTGGACCTCAGCCTGAGATCTGACAAGCGGGAATAGCCTCTGGCTACCTTCCAGAGACAATGTAACCACGGCGTGGTTGCAGTCGGGAGCGCTGGCACCCAGCAGGAGCCTCATGCTTGGACTCCAAAACCCAGAAAGGGGCAGAGTTCCACCTACTCCCGCATCAGCGTAACTGGAAGACGCTCGCTTTCCACACCTGATTATAGCCCAAAAAGATCTTAAAAACTAGAAACGAGGCTTTTCGACTTTCTCCCCCTCCACCCCAGCACTGTAACATCAAACATCTTCCGCTTTATCTTTCCCCAAGTCTCGGACTGAGCTCTTTACACACCTTTATCTGAAAGAAGGGAGAGATATTTTTGCACCCCTTAAAAAATAATTACTTAAGGCAACAAATGTAGAGGAAATAGCGGACCTTGAAAATTCATCCAGGGGGGAAAATGACGCACTAGTTTTGTCCTGCTACAAACCACAGAGGAAGCATTCTTCTGAAACCTGTGAATTACAGATGATTTTGTAACACCAGTGTATTAAGACTGACAGCGGAAAAATGACCACCAGCTACTTCTCTACCATTAAAATAAGTTCTGCCTTTTACAGCCCTGTTGCTCGTACATGCATGTAATGAGTTGCTGTAATAGAAATATTATTATTGTTATTAAAGTGCATCTTGCTGGGTTTATGGTCCCGTTCTCTGCTATCAAGCACTCTACTTCAGTCAAACCATTCAGCGTCTTGTATCTTTGTCCTGTTTCAAGTGTGACCAGAAAGGAAAGCACTGCCACAAAAACAGAACAAAGGAAAAGTTTGTTCACATCAAGCTTCTTCTAAGGAGTCATCTTTTTGTCGTTTAGACAAAATATTTCGGTATACAGCCTTTCAATAGTAGCATTCAAGTAACACTCAGGAAACTGTCGCTTTAGCTAAAAGTAGGGAAGTCTCGTTAGACGAAATCATCTGGACCACCAATCTTAGTTACTGATCCCAATGCCTGACTTCACATAAGCATTCCCTTCTACAAAGAGCTTTCCAGACAGACTGTTCAGGTGTTGGGGGCCACAAAAGTGGCTGCAGAATCACACCCTGAGCCTACTGCACACCATGTCCACCCCCTGAACACTCATTCACTGAGAGGCATTTCTGATGCTGTATGAGACATCTATACTGTCTTCATCATCATTTGAAAAAAATTAACATGTATACAACTATCACACTAGATCTGCCAACAGCAAAATGTCCAAGGAAATATGAAAGTGGACAGGAAAACACAAACTTCAGAATAGTTTCATGAAGTTAAATTCAGTTTAAAAAAAAAAAAATACCCTTTACATTTTGAGAGACTGATTTCAGGGCAGTAATTTTTACTTATTCCATCCAAACATACATGGTTAACTGGACAGATAAATACACCTCAATTGTTTGCACTACAACCAACTGGAAATATGATTAAGGGTTATCACTGTGCCTCAAAGCTACACCAAAATCCAGTTTAGGCAGTGCAGAAAAGATAATTTATTTCAAAACCGTGAACTTCCTGTAATTTTATAGGCATTAATTTGTGCATACAATCCTATACCAAGCTTAGAAGTTACATAAAATTAACAATACTATCGAATAAGAAAAGATGTTTGTGTTAACATGGTTGAACTCATCAGTTCATGTTTGTTTTCAATTAGGTCTGAGGACGTGCACCATCACATGGGATCTTCCAAAACCATCACCAGGGCATAATTCAAAGAAGATGGCATCACAAGGGACAAGAAACATCGGCTGCCCACCTCTGCAGCAAGTACCAAGATCACTGATTTCAGCACCAGCGTATGAAACAGAGCAAAGGCTGTCACAAAAATAAATGCCCACGATGGAAAACTTCCCATCAGTCTTGCAAGGCTGATGCTTTGTCTCAGCTAAGCAATTTCACACAGCAGGATGTTGGACTTGGCTTTTTGCAAACACAATTAGTCCTGCAAATCTGGTCTGTTAGGTCCAACCAGTGAATTAGTCATATGTTTACAGGTATTAACTGCCTCAGGCAGAACTGCCTTCTGCTGAAGGAGATAATAATCCAGTAGATGGCATATTGATAGCACTGCATCATTTTTTTTAAACTTAAAGCCTGTGCTCTTGAAAAATTTCTCTGTGTTCTACACAGCCAGTTGCAAATCAAGCAGCTGCTGAAGAGAGTAGTCCAGGACTCTTGTAAGTCTCCAGCTGTACAGCAGAGTCTCAGTCTCCTTTTTAACAGGATAACCCATCCGGCACCAAAACCCAAAACTTCACTTCGCAACACATACTGCACTTGAGAGGAATTCTAACTGGAATTTCTCTCACATGGATCATTTTCATCCCTCAATTACAAAAGGACTTAAATTATCACGGGCCACAAAACTGTACTTTTATCAAACAGTACATAATTTTCATAATTAGTATTCACATGCCAATTTCAACTTCTTGACATTCTTTCCAGCTATTTTTTGAACAGTGAAGAGGGACTTGATTTTTTTTTTTTAATTATTATTATTCTTTTACAGAATGAGCTACATTTAATTTTTCAAACCAGTAATAATTTCTCATGAAGTTAAGGACCCGCTTTTAGGGCTCTACACTGGGTACCTCGATTCCCAGGAATGTTCAAGCAGTTTTTAAGTTTTCCATAGCTCTGTTCAGTGCAGTTTGATCTCCATGAGCTCATGCAAGATACAAACCTGCATCTGCAAAAGCCTGTTTGCTGCTTCCTCTCCATCTTAACTTTTCTTCCAACGATGCATCACTCTTTAATGAGCATAATAAGATTATTAATCTGAGTTAATTCACCCTTGATTGCTAGTGAAAGTTCCCTCAGACATCTCATTAAATCAGAAGAACTGAAGCACAATATATTACAGCTTTCCTCCGAGTTTTATATTCTGAGGCTAATCAGGATGGTTCATATGGACCAGCGCTGTAGAATCCCTAATCAGAAGCACTACCAAAAAAAGTACCCCTTTTGTGCCAATAACAACCCACTCTGAAGGAGGGAAATAACTGAATAATTGAAATGATTTCCTGACTCGAGGAAACAGCCTGAAGCTGAGCCAGGGGATTGTTTAGGTTGGATATCAGGAAAAGGTTCTTGACCTAGAGGGTGGCTGGGCACTGGAACAGACTCCCCAGGGAAAGGGTCACAGCACCAGGCCTGACGGAGCTCAAGAAGTGCTTGGACAAGGCTGTCAGGCTCGTGGTGGGATTCCTGGGTCTGTCCTGTGCAGGGCCAGGAGCTGGACTTCAGTGATCCTTGTGGGTCCCTTCCAGCTCAGGATGTTCTGTGATTCCGTGGTTTCTCCCTGCATTCGGACTCTTTCCCACTCAGGAATTTTCAGTTATTATTTGCTGTGTATACAGAGAGATGTACACATACATCTCTATATGTATTCATACTGCTGTCCCTTACCAGTATGTAGCAGGCACCCATTTTTCCCTCTTTTTTTTTATTTCTTTTACATCTTGGCGAACAATTAAGCCTTAAAACGTGAAGCTGCTTTAATGCCGATTTTACAGGAAGAGACCAAGAAAAAGGGGTAAAAACCCCCACATTTTCATGAAAAAGGAACATGCATATATCCTCTGAGAGCACACTCCTTGGACTTAGTACTACTTATTATGGACTTATTGCTGCGTTATTATTCTAACACTGCAGGAAAATACCACAGTCAAAACTGGGGCTTGATTTACTTATAAAGAACTGGAAGTTGAGAAGTCTGAACTGAGAGCAGTGTCCTAATAGATCTGCTCTGCACCCAGCATTAACTTCCCATCTGTGTACATCAAGACAATGGGATAGAGTGTCTCAGCTTTATCTTTTCTTTGCTGAACATATTGTACCTACAACACGGACACTGTACTATCTCTCAGCAGCTGAGCAAAACACACTATCTTATCAGAACACTGCATGGTCAGATCAGGTGTCATTTTTTAAGCTGAAATAGATTTAGTTCGCATTTTCTGCTATTTATTATACTTGCACAGAAAGGAATTCTTCTAGACTGCAGCAACTTTTTACACGTTTACTGGCATTGAGATAACACTGCAACACCTCACCTGCATTTCACAGTAAAAAAACACCCGAACAAGACTAATCCCCGACTCTATGTCAGATATAGAATCCTAAACTGAGACGAGGTTGTTCAATCTTTCTAATTTTTTTTGCCCTCTATAAGGGAAAACGTTGGCATGTTCTCAGTTTCAGCTCTCTGCCTTTCTCTCCAACGAAACAAGGTCTATCTGCTTTTGCTGTTCCATATATGAAGCTTCTATTTGTCACTGCCTTGTTACATCCCACAGGCTGTGGGTCAAGTTACACGGGAGCATCTCTTTCCTGCCATTAAAAAGAAAAAGAAAAAAAAAAAAAGCCTAAAACCACCAAGAGAACACTCAGTATCGTTCAGAGGATCGGGAGGGGGGGAGTGGGACAGATGAGAATCAGATGATCTTCGCTCTAAAGTTAATACCCCAGTAAAAGCAGAAAACCTGCTCCTCGAAGCACTGAATCTGAAACCAAAATTAAAAAAAAAAAAAAGGCAAACAAAGCAGGAGCACCGTAAGGAAAATAGCTCTCGGTACTCACCTAGTGCCGAAGACCAGCGCAGCGAAGAGAGGCAGCAAGTAACAGGCAGGGATGAATTTCATACTGGCGCTCCCCGCTTCGTTCCGTTCCCTCGCACTGGTCTTTCCCACCGGCTCTCCCTTCCCCGTCTCCTCCTCCCGCACTTCTCCTCGCCGGGGGAGCTGCCACCCCCTTCCCGCTGCGGGAGGGTCTCCTGCCTCCTCCTCCTCCTCCTCCTCCTCCTCCTCCTCCAGCGCCAGCAGAGCGGGATTTGAGCGCCGGGAAGGGGATCACGAGGCAGAAGGAGCCGCCGCCGGGCGGGCTCTGGGCGGGCGGCGGCTCCAGCGCGGCCCGCGGGATGCGCCAGGACGCGCCCCTCGGGAGGATGGGGCGGGGGGGGAAGGCAGGGCAGGGATTAGAACGGGATGCACGGGGCCTCCGCTCCGAGGGGAACGCGGGGACACGGCCGGGAAATAACCTCCTGGAAAGGGGAAAAAAAATAAAATAAAATAAATTTTAAAAATATTAAAAAAAAAAATAAAATAAATAAAGAGAAACCTGCAACGGAAACGCCGCCGGTATTTTGCGGCTGGCTAGCGCCTTTGTGTGATGCGAATATAAACGAGACGGGTGATACGGGGGAAGGGAGCTGCTCTAAGTAGGTGTCAAGCCCCGGAGCAGCCTGTCACTACGCCCAGCCCAGGTGTCGTTTCTGCAAAGCAGGAACACACAAAGTGGCTGTTTCGATCAGGTGTTCCTTAGCTTTCATATCAAATTGAAAGTAACAGCAGAAACAGCTTCCAAAATAGGACTTTGAAACGTTAGTGTCATCCCTAAAAGCCCTTCATTACTTGAAAGAACCAGTTAGACCTTCAGAAGAAATAAATACCCCTTTCCTGCGTCCTGTGTTTGTATTCACCTGATGTCAATCATCAGTTAATTAAAACTGCATTGGTTAAAGATGCTTTCAGGATACAGGTGTTCCCTACCTTGACACAAGTGAAGTTCATCTAATGGCAAACCATATGAAAGTATTTAAACAAGAATCACCTTGCTAGGCAATACCCAAAAACCCCCCAATCAAACAAACTTGTCTGCAAGTGAGTGAAGTGTGGTCATTACAAGAGAGAGTTTTGGTCACCCTTGTGCTTGTTTGGTCATATGAAACACATCCAGAAACTACACTATGTATCACAAGCATAAAATAAAAATTTCCATAGTTTAATCTGGTGGGTCATTGCATCCAGCTATTTATTGAGGAGTAATTTTGGATTCCACCAAAGCAAACAGAAACTCACTGCTTGAAATGAATGGAAGACTTTTTAAAATTAGCATTATGTCCCCTAATTAGACATTCCCATGGCATACAAATAGAATTAATAAATTACCTTGTTGCTTACATCTTTCAATAAACTGAGAGGGATGGGAGAGAAAAGAAAACAAAGAAAAGGCAACATACATAGCCAAAAAAAGAATAAAATAATGTATTTCTGAGTCCTCTTTCTGTGTCCCAACACTAGTATCTTTTTTCAGCACAGCTGGCAGCAAGTTCTATTCATTCAGATTAGTTCAAATCAGTATTTATTGTTATTTTGATACTACATACTAGCATGAAAGAACAGCCATGTTACCATGGATACTTATGATGGAATAGTAAAAAGGTCATAAAAAGAGCAGTTAGCTTGTCATTTTCTCTTCCAGAAAAAGCCAGCCTTCCAAGGCTACCAGGCACCTCCTAGTCTTGTATCAGCAGCTAATACTGGTTTCATCTTCCTTTTATGTGCACACACACAGGGTGGAATGGAGGGGAAGATGCTGGTGCATCGAGGCAATTAATTAGTGCCCGACAATGCTGAATGATCTCAAGAAAACTTGGGAAATTTTGCAATCTGAGGAATTATCTTTTTAACTCTATTACTGCTCTGCTTCTTTTTTGGGGAGTGGGGGTGGAATACAGAGGCCTACTGCTACATCTTGGTTTCATCTCAAGGGGTTTTACCACGTTTGCACGGGAGAACATCTCCCAGCTGAGTGACTCCAGTACAGGCAGCCTGCAGCTGTGGCAGTGCTGCATCACCCAGACACCACATTGCCATTCTCTGAGTCATTTCTCCACCCTGTCCAGAACTGACCAGACAATTAGGAGGCTCTCAGGCTTACCAGCGCTGCTGCTCCGACACAAACATCCTGTCAAGATTGTCACCGCGCAGCTTCAGCCTGCAAACACCCGAAGGGCTCGGTGGACAGCACGTGGAACAAGCTCTCCCAGCTCAGGTCGGGCCCTTCAGCCGACTTGGGCACAGCCTACACAGAGCCAGCCCTTCAGGAGACGGCAGAAGTGGCCAAGCAGAGACTGCAGCAATTGCACCCCTAAATACTGAGATATGCACAGGTAAAACTGCGTTACTGGGAAGGCAAACGCTCAGCAGCAAAATCAGGCAGGACAAAAGGAAAACCTGCCCTTTCCAGAGGCAAACCTCTGTAATTAGGAACTGGGCACCTAATCTTCAATGCCATTCTTTCCAGACTTTATTTTACCCAAGCTGCTTGCCCAAAGACACAAAAACATCCTTTCCCCCACTCATATTCAGATAAGTGACCTTGATCGTGAAGAGTCGGAGGGTTTGTTGGGTTTTGGTTGGTCGGTTGTTTTTTTGTGTTTTTTTTTTTTTTTTTAGAGGAGTGATGTGCATCCCAACAACTAATATATCTATCCCAAAAAATGGGAGACAATAGTTTGCAGGTTTTTCTTGAACACAGACTGCAGTCAATTTATTTAGCGCTGTGTACACTTAAAGAGAGATCAAATATTAATGTAGAACAACTTCAAAGACGCTGGAGAGAAATATTCCATAGAAATTATATTAGACTGCAGAACTCTTTGGAAATACCGTATTTTTACTCTTGTAATTGAAAGCTTTCCATTTCTTGGCTCCAATTAATGGAAAGTCTTACTAAATAAATAATTACTTCTAGCTTAGGCACAAAAAGCTGGTCATAAATGTCATTTTACAAAAACCTTATACAGAAAATATAAATAAGAAAACAATGGAAATATTATTGCAAGGCATTTCAAACACTCGTCACACAGGTTCTTGCAAGTTTAGCTAAACATACTCCTAGTGTAGGAACATTATTTCCTACTTTAGCAAGGAAAATGAATCAACTGCCTCCCTTTGCAAAATACAGCACGAGCTTATGCTTGCCAGAGCAGAAAGATATCCATTTAAGCCTCTGTTTCTGTAGTAACTACTGTAGCAGGGGTCCTAATTTTATTTTCATTATTTGGAAATGATGGTAATGAAAAAAGGAATCATGAAATGGTGGCATATACTATTTTCAGTTACTCTGAATGCATGTGTTAGAGAGATTCCTACAGATATACTAAATGGAGAGGACCATTAGCATATCTTGCTGTTGAACACGGAAATTCTAAATTCCAAGACCTTGCATAAATGGCTTTCAGAAGAATAAGGGCACAGCCACTGGATGAAGTAGAATGTATTTTATTTTAGAGTAATTTGCCAATGCAATTTTGAAGTTTTTATTTGGGAAAACCCCCTACAACCAAGGCAAAGCTACGAGTAGGAGACTCAACTATTCCAATTTCGAGTGCTCTGTGAAGCAGAGTATATTATGAGGCACTGCAGTGCAGAGAATGCCAGGTTTCCTGTGCACTTTTACACCTGTGCATGCATACACATACAAATGCACACAAATATATATATTTTTTGCTGTATTGAAGTACCACTTTAGATAACTACAGCAGTAATTCAGTACATTTTACACTTTGTACAACACACTGCATTTCTATGTCTTAAAAAGACCAGCCCAGGCACACTTGAGTTCTCAGGTAATAATCCAATCTCTGAAATGCTGTATGATAAATAGCATCTTAAATAATGGAAGAAGCAGAAAACCACAGACATCAACAGCCTCCTTAAGGATAATTGTTGTGAACTGGTGATGCCAGCAGCGTT